GGGGGGGGGGGGGGGTGGTGTCAAAGGATGGCCCACTGTTTACCCCTCCCCAACCTTTAGCTTAAAATATACACATTGACTTATATTCCTGGCCCCTACAAGTGAATTACATCGTGGCAAGTACTCTTCTTATTTTTTTAGACAAATACTGGCATATTTCAACAATTCTTATGATTTGTATGAGTCACTGTTTACATCATTAAAAGGTAAGCTGTCGTATTGACATTGTACTTTAATACTGAAACCCTTGTACTTTAATACTGAAACCCTTGTACTTTAATACTGAAACCCTTGTACTTAAATACCGAAACCCCTGTACTCTAATACTGAAACCCTTGTACTTAAATACTGAAACCCTTGTAAAAATACCGAAACCCTTGTACTTAAATACCGAAACCCTTGTACTTTAATACGGAAACCCTTATACTTAAATACTGAAACCCTTGTACTTAAATGCCGAAACCCTTGTACTTTAATACTGAAACCCTTGTACTTTAATACTGAAACCCTTGTACTCTAATACTGAAACCCTTGTACTCTAATACTGAAACCCTTGTACTTTAATACTGAAACCCTTGTACTTTAATACTGAAACCCTTGTACTGTAATACTGAAACCCTTGTACTTTAATACTGAAACCCTTATACTATAATACTGAAACCCGTGTACTCTAATACTGAAACCCTTGTTCTTTAATACTGAAACCCTTGTACTTTAATACTGAAACCCTTATACTTAAATACTGAAACCCTTGTACTTAAATGCCGAAACCCTTGTACTTTAATACTGAAACCCTTGTACTTTAATACTGAAACCCTTGTACTCTAATACTGAAACCCTTGTACTTTAATACTGAAACCCTTGTACTTTAATACTGAAACCCTTGTACTTAAATACTGAAACCCTTATACTTTAATACTGAAACCCGTGTACTCTAATACTGAAACCCTTGTTCTTTAATACTGAAACCCTTGTACTCTAATACTGAAACCCTTATACTTTAATATTGAAACCCTTGTACTCTAATACTGAAACCCTTGTACTTTAATACTGAAACCCTTGTACTTTATTACTGAAACCCTTGTACTCTAATACTGAAACCCCTGTACTTTAATACTGAAACCCTTGTACTGTAATACTGAAGCCCTTGTACTTTATTACTGAAACCCCTGTACTTTAATACTGAAACCCGTGTACTTAAATACCGAAACCCTTATACTTTAATACTGAAACCCTTGTACTTTAATACTGAAACCCTTGTACTTTAATACTAAAACCCCTGTACTTTAATACTGAAACCCTTGTACTTTAATAGTGATGCAAGTAACAGGGGCTGACATGGAAAAAGCGTCTAGTCGTTACGATGGGTCAATAAACCGAGGCCCCGTGTTTTACAGGATGTGAACGTTAACGATCCCTTGACAGTTGGAAATCGAAAAAGAGCAGGCTAATGCCGCTGTCCTGACAAAATTTCCCTCATTGCACCCTGCATGGCGCTGCCCATCTTCGTTAGCCCACATGGTTCAGAAAGTAGGACGTGAAAAAAACTGTCAAAACTGAGTTGGATTGTTAACATATCAAATATTGTAAAAATATATTTATTTACCTATATCATTGTTCAAACAGAATTATATGAAAGGGATGAAGATGTCATTGGGTTCATGGCTATAGGCCTACATACTTAGTTATACAACACTTTCTATTAAAGAGATACCACCCCTTAAAATGTCATACAATTTCTTTCTCAAATTGGCCAATAAGAGTATATATTCACCAGTTGGACTTACCAGGTGTAATAAATATACCAAAATATATAATCCGATAAATCCATAAAACAATGTAATTATTTGAAAACCCTTATTAGGGTTTTTCAATAATCACTTTATTTTAAGGATAATTACTTGGTTTTAAGGGTAATTACTTAGTTTATAGGATAACTACTTAGATTTATAGTTTTATCGGATTATATATTGATTCTGTTTTATAGGGCCTATTATAGTTATGGTACTAGGCAGTTGCCAAGATGAATATATACTCTTTTGGTCAAAATTGAAAATTTGAATTTTATGTTAATTCTAAGAGGTAGAATTCCTTTAAGATATAATCAAACTTGATGTAAATTGAATAGAAACATATTGATATTTCAACGGGAGTGACTATGCAGCATTTTTAAAGGTCAAATGAAAATATGTCATTGACAAATTACTAATTACAAATATACAAGAGGAAAATTAACAATGATGAGTCATAATGACAGTGCATGTTTTTATATACTTATCTAGCAATGCATAACAACAATTTGCAGTTGTGCTTATTATTGAATAGCAGGTATAGACGTGCTACTGGACTTGGTGAATGATATAAGCTAGAGTTGTAAATGCCAGCAGAGGCGGCTGCAGAACTGTGGATTGGGAAGGGGTACCAAAAATATTTTTTTGAAAATAATGGTCTTTATCCATTTAAGATGCTTTCTTCCTCCATCAAGTGGCCTGAATGACCTCTCTTTCTTCCAAGTCCTATTTTTTATTTCAACCTTTTACTCTTCATTTTCTACTTTGTGGGGCTTTTAAGAGGGGCCATGGTCCTCCTGCGCAATGGAGCCACCGCCTCCTTGGAGCCGCCACTGAATGCTACCCACATAGATAAAGTCTCCTAAATACTGGCTTAGGCCTTAGACTTATTTCGTACTTGGTTGAGATTGGTAGATCTTACAAAATGAAATATGTGAAATATGAATTTTGTTATAGTACAGTATGTTTGTAGAGTTTGATATCTAAATGAATTCTAAAAATGCCATGTGTATAGAAACTGACAGTGAAGCAGTGGCAACAATCTCAAATAACTCATAGTCCGAATGTCACAGTAACACTATCACATTCTCTCATCCAAGTACGTAGCGTAACCGAGGCAAATGAAGCAAATGTCTCACTTTTGAAACGAGTATTTCACCCCCCCCCCCCCCCCCCCCC